AGGACTTCTAAAAGAGCAGCCAGTGCTCTTTACCGCTGAGCCATCTCTCTAGTCCTTGGGGCACATTCTTGAGTTTTTCCTTCAGAGACACATTGTACCTTTTAATTCCTGCAGGATACAGTAATATGAATTATATTGCTTTAAAAAAAATTTTTTTTTAATTTTTTAATTTTAATTTTAATTTTGCAATACAATTCAGTTCCACATATCAGCCACGGATTCCCCTGTTCTCCCCCCATGGCCCCCCTCACCTTCCCCCCAACCTACCCCCCATTCCCACCTCCTCCAGGGCAAAGCCTCCCCTGTAGACTGAGATCAGATCAACCTGGCAGACTCAGTCCAGGCAGGTCCAGTCCCCTCCTCCCAGGCCGAGCCAAGAGATCCTGCATAAGCCCCAGGTTTCAAACAGCCAACTCATGCAATGAGCACAGGACCTGGTCTCACTGCCTGGATGCCTCCCAAACAGATAAAGCCAATCAACTGTCTCACCCATTCAGAGGGCCTGATCCAGTTGGGGACCCCTCAGCCATTGATTCATAGTTCATGTGTTTCCATTTGTTTGGTTGTTTGTCCCTGTGCTTTATCCAACCTTGGTCTCAACAATTCTCAATCATATAAACCCTCCTCATTCTCGCTAATTGGACTCCCAGAGATCCACCCGGGGCCTAGCCATGGATCTCTGCATCCAGATACCTCAGTAGTTGGAATTATATTGCTTTTGAGTGGACTTCCTTTCTTTAGGCACATGTTTAATGTTTTGGACTCTACCAATTCAAATTTGTCTTGTTTCTTTTCCTTTATTAGTTTTGTTGCTATGCTCTGTTGTCTCCCCTCTGAATCTCTTCACTCTTCTGTGTTTAAATATTCAAAGTGTATTTTATTGCCACGTAGAATTGATTTGTAGAGGAAATAAAGAACCACACCTATCTTCTGTCTTACATTCTACCTACTGTGTTCAGGCTGCTTTGTTAGTTGTTTTCTAAAGAAAACTTCTGTGAAATTTGGACCAGCAGTAATTGCATCACCTGGGACTTACTATAAATACAGACTTCTGGGCCCTAACCCATATCTGGCAATTGTGTTGTAGATTTTACTTTGTGTGAGTTATTTATACTGAATGTAAAATAAAAAATGTTTTTACAGTCCTGCAACCTGAGAGAGACATTACACATTTTAAACTGCTAATCTTTATGTTAAGTGGATAAGTAGAAGAATTTCAAAATTGAGTAGTTATTTTTATTTTATTTATTTATTTTGGTTTTTTAAGACAGGGTTTCTCTGTGTAGTTTTGGTGCCTGTCCTGGATCTCGCTCTGTAGACCAGGCTGGCCTCAAGTAGTTATATTTTCAGCTGTAGCTAGTTTTATAAGCTGTATCAAAACCTTTTCAAACAAGGAAGGTATTAGCTGGGGAAGTGGCTCACTGACAGGGCCTTGACTTACATGCACGAGGCTCTGGGTTTGATCTCCAGTGCTACCAAACGTTTCTCATGTGTATAATAACAAGTTCTTCCCTACATCGTAATTTCAGCAGTCTGACAGTCTGATTCACACTCTTCTAACAAACCAACACACAAACAAACAAAACCTTCAAGGCCTAAGAATATGTATCAGTATAGTGCCTGCTTAACAAGCTCAAGGCCCTAGGTTCAGTTTCTAATATCACAAAACAAAAATAGCTTTATTGCAATATAAATTACCTATCATAGTATGGACATAATTCATGGACATTACATTGTAGTGATTCTTAAATTAGTATATTCAGAGTTGCAAAACTATCACCATAGTCAAAATTGAAACATTATTAGCCTGCAAGAAATCCTGTGTGTACCAGCAGTTACTTTCTGTTCCCTTTAATCTCTCAGCCTGGCTCAGCATTGATCTATTTCCTATCTCTGTCAATTTGTCTATTCTGGACAATGGGATTATGTAATTGTCAGGTCCAAAGGAAACTCCATTTCCCAGAAGATATTTAAATCTCTATTAAGACTGAATTTAAGTAGGTGGTAGTGGTGTAAACCTTTAATCCCAGCACTTGAGGGGCAGCAGGTGAATCTCTGAGTTTGAGGCCAGCCTGCTCTGCAGAATGAGTTTCAGGACGGCTGGAAGGGTGAGGGGTCGGGAAACGACACTTAATTTAGCAATCTGAGGGAGAGATGAACTAGCAGAGTAAAGTAAGATTTTTGAGAGTGGAGAGCAGAGAAAGTTTAGAGATAAGCGATTTTAGGATCATTTGTTTGTGCAGTGGCAGAAGTTGTTATAATCTAAGAATTTGGAAATCTAGTGTGCCATTTTTGGCTGTTGAGCTATACTGAGGCCAAGGCATTTGCAGTAAGACATCTAGTCCTAATGGAATCTCTGAATTTGAAGAGGAAAAGAGATTCAAGGAGGCAGCCAGGAACAGAGTAAGAGGATGGGCAAAAGAGACAGAGCAGGCTTGAGGAGTGAGCTGAGAACCCATGGGGAGCGAGAGCAAGGATGGGAGAGAGAAGGGCAAGTGTCCTAGCGACAAGAATTTCAATCCAGAGAGACTTGTCAGAGAGAAATGTCCCAAATCATCCAGGAGAGGTGTCCTTTCCATGTGATGGGTGCCCAGGATTGCAAGAGAAGCTGCCTGGCACACCAGTACAACTTTTGTATTGACAGAGGAAGCTGCAGGAGGGAGCTGACAGAGACAGATGGCAGCTCTGAGGTGACACCCTAGTACTAGGAGAGAGCAGCTGGAGGGAGGAAGTGGTTGAGTAGCAGACTCTAAAATATGGAACCCAATATGGTGGGTGGCAGAAGACAGTAGAAACAAATGATCCAGAGTCAAATCAGCAGCTTGGTTCGGTTACGAGAGGTTGGGACCCTTGGAAGGGGTGGCATAAACTGCCCCCCTGGGTATCTTGGCATCAGATACACAAACTGACAACATGACTGCTTTATGGTGTGGTTAAGTGGAGGGCTTTTATTGTAGATATAAGAAAGAACAGCCAGAGGCATCTGAAAGAGTCCAGAGCAGAGAGAGAAAAGTAGTAGACTGAACACGGCCAGCAGACTGGACCTGGCCATGAGTGAAGCAGGAGCAAGTGTATGTGGGGTGTGGGAGAGCAGAGAAAGGGGGAGGAGGGAGACAGATAGACAGGAGGAGGTCAAAAAAGAAGAGGGAGCATAGCGGAGACAGCAAGGCTATAAGGAGAATGAGTGGCTGGGGGAGGGAAGCTCCTGAGCTGGATGGAGTTAGGGTAGGGAAAAAGGTGAGAAGGGCTAGGATGCCAGCATGGGCCTTGAAGTGTGTGACAGGTACCTGTGATACTCAGGGAGCCTGGAAGCCAGCATGTACTTTGGTATGCTAATAGGCACTACATATGTCCCTTCTTCCTTTTGGAATTCAGAGAAGTGGAGTTTCCTTTGGACCTAACAATAATATGTGATCATGATTAGCTTTTGAGTTCATCATATAATGTTTTTCAACCCATCTGTATTCTATAATCACTGCTTCATTACTTTTATTGTTGAATAATATTGTATTATACAGATATAAATTACAGCTTGTCTCATCTCCTGATATAAACTCTTATTATTTCCACTTTTTGGCTATTACAGGTTGTTCAACTATGAATATTACATACAGGCTTTTCTGTGGATATAATATTTCATTTTTCTTGAATATGTAAAATTGTTGAGCCATCAGGTGACTGCTTAACCTTTGAGGATGCCAGGCTGTTTGTTATGAAACTCATTATTTTTATATCCCTAGCAGTCGTATAGGGGTGTGCCTGCCTTCCATCTTCACTCATTTGTTATTCTGTCTTTTTAATTAGAATTACCTTATTGGTATAAAATAGTGTCTCATTATGGAATTTTTTTTTTTTTTGAGACAGGGTTTCTCTGTGTAGTCCCCTGGCTGTCCTGGAACTTGCTCTAGAAACTAGGCTGGTCTCAAAACTTAGAGATCTGCCTGCCTCTGCCTCCCGAGTGCTGGATTAAAAGCATGCATCACCACTGCTTGGCTCATTATGGAATGTTTGTTTCTTTTTTTTTTTTTTTTTTTTTTTTGGTTTTTCGAGACAGGGTTTCTCTGTGTAGCTTTGTGCCTTTCCTGGAACTCACTTGGTAGCCCAGGCTGGCCTCGAACTCACAGAGATCCGCCTGGCTCTGCCTCCCGAGTGCTGGGATTAAAGGCGTGCGCCACCACCGCCCGGCGTTTGTTTCTTTTTGAAGATCATTTCTTAAGAATTGTATACCCCAGACTGGCCTGGAAATATCCATGTACTCCAGCTTGACCTCAAACTCCTATTCAGCTTCCTGAGTGCTAGTAGTACAGCATGCACAATCATGCCCTGCCTCTCTGATTTTGTTTTGCATTTCCTTGATGACTGACGATGTTGAGCATCTTTTCATGTGCTTGCTTTGGCCATTCGTATATCTTTTTTTTTTTTTTAATTTAGTGTGTATGTGCTAATCACAGTGTATACGTAGTAGTCAAAAGATGGTTCCTTCCACCTTTCTGTGGGCCCTGGAGACTTGAACTTAGGTCACCAGGCTAACTCAACACACACCTTACCTGTAGACCACTCTAGTCTACACAGTACATTCCAGGACAGTTAGGATTACACAGTGAGACCCCATCTGAAGAAGAAAAAGAATACCTAAAATCTGATATGGTGGTGCATTGCCAATATCCAATATAATAATATTATTTAGAGTCTTTGTGTTGTTACACATTAGTCACTTAATAGCTTTTGGAATGAACTGCTCAGATTAGGGCTTTATTTGTGTTTTAAAGATGTTAAGTTTTGCTGAAGAGAAAGTATTTTATGAGGAGGGGAAACCTTTACTTTTCAGACAAGTATTTGTAACATTTCAAAAGTGCCCCCCTGGCTAACATTAATATGACAGCTGGTTTGACTGGCAGTTTTTTGAATCTCATTGCACATGGTTAAGGAGCTATTCCTGGGTGAGGAAATTACAAAATGAATCATTTGCATATACAAAATAACATAAATTTCTCTTCTAGCTCTTCCACCAAAGCCACCTAAGCCAATGACTTCAGCAGTTACAAATGGAATGAAGGACAGTTTTATTTCTCTTCAAGACGCAGAATGGTACTGGGGAGATATTTCAAGGTAACTAAAATGCTACTCTAATTGAATGCAGTGTTTTTCATTGATTCTGAGAGTTAGTAGTTAGACATTTTAATGCTCTACTGGTTTTCATTTAAAGATTATCATTTTAAGACTTGTGTATGGGAACCCTTCAAAAGTGTATTTAGGGGTTGGTAAGATGGCTCAGAGGTTTAAAGGTGCCTTTGTGGTCAAGCCTGATTACCTGAGTTCAATTCCCTGTGTCCTCATGGTAGAAGAAGAAAACTGACTCCACAAGTTGTCCCCGACCTTCTGACACACATTATGATATGGCAGCATGTGCACACCCCACCCCCATGAAATATTTTTAAAAAAGAGCCTTTAGGGGCTGGAGTAATGAATCAGTGGTTAAAGAGCACTTGTTGCTCTCCCAGAGGACTTGGGTTTGATTTCTCATACCCTTGTGGTGGCTCACAACCATCTATAACTCCAGTTCCAGAGGATACAACATCTTTTTGTCTCTACAGCCACTGCATGTGTGTGGTAAACAGGCGTATATACAGGCAGAGTACCCATACATATTTAAAAACATTCTTTAAAACAGTGCCATTCTTCATTCTCATGACAAGATAACAGGAAGATCTTTGGGTTATGGGTGTGATTATACTTTTTCATACTGTGTCAAGGAGGAACTTTTGAGTAGATGATCCTTAAATGTTTAAGATGGTTCCATGTGATGTATAATGAAAGATGTTTATTTTATGAACTTAGATTTCTTTACCTTTTTTTTTTTTTCTTTTTTAGATAGGCTCTCATTCTGAAGTCTTAGCTGGCCTGAAACTCACCAGAGATCCCCTCTGCCTCCTGAGGGTCACCATGCCTGGCCTTCCCTTACTTTTCTGTGTAGCCCAGTCAGGCCTTGAATTTGGGACCCTCCCCAGCCTGCACCACCTGGCTTGGCTCCTTTACATTTTTCTCCCTAAGGCAGTGCTTCTAAAATCTTTGTACAGGAGTCAGTTGAGATGGAGCACAAGAATCTTTGAGGCAGGGTCTTGCTTTGTAATCAATGCTGACCTAGAACCATCTCAAACTTTTGATCGCTTGCCTCAGCCTTTTTAGTGCTAAGATTATAGGCAAGTTCCACTATACCCATCATTAGGTGATTTTGATGCAGTTCTTTTTGTTTGTCTTCTTTTCTTTTTCTTTCTTTTATTTGTTTTGAGACAGGGTTTCTCTGTGTAGTTTTGGTGCCTGTCCTGGATCTCGCTCTGTAGACCACAGAGATCTGCCTGGCTCTGCCTCCCGAGTGCTGGGATTAAAGGTGTGTGCCACCACCGCGCCTGGCTTTGTTTTCATTTTTTGAGACAGGTCTCACTGTGCAGCTCTGGCTGTCCTGGAACTTGCTCTGTAGACCAGGCTGGCCTCAAACTCACAGAGATCCACCTGCCTCTGTTTCCTGAGAGATGGCACTAGAGGCATGCATCACTACACATGGTTTGAAGCAGTTTTTTAAAAATTATTGCTTTTAGTTTTTGAAACTACATCACTTTTCCCTTCCCTTTCATCCCTCCAAATTCCCATATATTCTTCCATGCTCTTTTGCAAATTCATGACTTCTTTTTGTAATTTCTTTATATAGCTCTTTCTCTGAAAAAGCCATCCAAGACAGATCTGCTTCTTGTGTAAAATGTGGATATGGATAATTTTGAATACAGAGAGGGAATATTTGTATACTCATACATTTTTTTCTTAATTTGAATCTTGTATCTTTTATTTATGTTTTTTCTCATTAAAGTTTAATGGGTCTCTAAGGTTTTGTCGTTTGTTTTTTTGAGTCAGAGTCTCAGTGTGTAGAACAATGGCTAGAAGCATGGTCTGTAGACCCAGCTGACCTTGACTTAATCTCCCCCTTCAGCCTCCTGAATGACCAGTTTACAAGCTTGCACTATCATGCCTAATATCTAGTGTATTTCCTTTTTTTTTTTTTTTTTTTTTTTTTTTTTACCTCGACTGTTTATGTCAAAGCAGGCTCTAGTTTGATGCTGTAGTGCCATAATACACCAGCAGTCCTTCCTTCTCTTACCTGTCAAATGGTACTCATTCCATGTCTTTGTTACCCGTACCATCTGAAGTGTATCTTTTCATTGGTATCTGGTACATCCATACTGTTACCCACATAATTACCATCTGTCTTCAGAACACTTGCGTCTTTCTAACTTAAACTCTGCCTGTTAAAACAGAAACGCTCTTCCTTCCTTAGCCCTTCCTAACCAGGCTTTTACTTTGTTTTTATGAATTCAACTACTGTAGGTAGTGGAATTATACAATATTATACATTTATGACTGGCTTTTCATTTATTTCAGATATCTTCATAGTTACTCATGTGTCAGAATTTAATTTCCTTTTTAAGCCTAAATATATCCCAATATTTGTAAATATATTTTGTTTATTCATTTTATCTTTTGTGCTGTTGTGCATGATGCTGTTATAAATATTACTTATAAATAAATATCTGCTTGAGTTCTTGTTTTTGGTGATTTTGGATATTTACCCAGAAGTGGAACTGCTAGGTCATTTGTTACTCTGTGTTTAACTTTTGAAAAGGACAATACATTTTAGATTAAAATTCAGTAGACCAATTTTTTAGTATTATACAGTAAGAGTGTTTTTAAATACTTAAAGGTGCAACAGGCTTTCTGTTTTGGGCCACCAACCAGCTCCCAAATCATGACATGGAGACTTCTTATTAGTTATGAGTACTCGGCCTTATCTTATGCTTGTCCCACTAGCTTTTATAACTTAACCTGTTTCTCTTCATCTATGTTGCCTCTGGGTTTTTTATTTCTAGTGGCTCCCTGGATTCTGGCCCTGGGCATGTCCCTCTCTTTCTATCTCATTCTCTCCTCCCCTTCTCTCCAGCCTAGATTTCTCCTCATACTTATTTTCTCTGTCTACCAGCTCCACCTATCCCTCTCCTGCCTAGCTATTGGCCATTCAGCTTTTTATTAGAGCAGTTGGGTGCTTTAGGCAGGCAAGGTGAAACAAATGCAACACACCTTTACATAATTCAACAAATACAGCATAAACAAATGTAACACATCTTTACATCTTTAACAAAGGCAGCAGAAACAAATGTTACACACCTTTACACAGTTAAAGTAATATTCCACAGCATAAACAAAATGTAACACATCTTTGTCTAATTAAAGTAATATTCTACAACATAAAGGCCATCTAAACTATACTTTAAAATCATGTTCTTCCTGAAATTTCTAAACTGCAGAAGGAATTTGTTAACATGAATTCAAATGAGAGAGCACGGTGATGATAGGCTGTGAACGTCAGTAACAGCTGCCACTGCTGCTTAAAATAATGCCCTTCTTCTTAAACAGCTGTGGGTTTATGTTCAGACCTGCCTAAGAAAGCCCTAAAGGCATATTAGAAACATGATCTGTACAGACCATTGAAATCTAGAGGAGTTAAACATCAAGTGTTCTTTCCCTAGATTACATAATACCAAAAATAAAAACAGAAATCGTTTCCATGGGGAGGACCTAGGTGACCACTGGGGACTTGAGGGTATTGTAACCTTCCAGCTGATCTTGATGAATATTCAGAGACAACCAGTGCTTAAGTTTTTTTTTTTCCTTTTTCAAATGTTTCCTATAATTTTGCTTCTCAGGGAAGAGGTAAATGACAAATTACGGGACATGCCAGATGGTACTTTCTTAGTGCGTGATGCCTCAACAAAAATGCAGGGGGACTATACATTGACTTTAAGGTAAGTGCTTTTCTGCCTTTGGCTAGTGTCTTCCTAGCGTGAGTATATAGAGTTCTGTATTTTGCTTAAATATTTACATATTTTCCATATTTTTATTTAATTTAGATATATAATTTTTAGTTTAGCTAACATTTTAACTTTAAAATCCCTTTCCTGGGGGTTGGGGATTTAGCTCAGTGGTAGAGTGCTTGCTCAGCTCCCGGGGGGGGGGGGGGGGGGGGGATCCCTTTCCTGTACATAAAATATTTAAATATAAAATTATGCCTATTTCATTTTTATATTTTAAATATATGTAGCAATAAAATAAAAAGTCTAAAATTCCTAAATGTTATGGAGTAAGGAATATATTATCTTATTCTCTTACTTCATTAATGAAGTAAATGTCATGGGTATAGCTCAAGGTTATTAATGAGCCTAACTCTCTAAAAATCCTATTTTTCCTAGTATGGGCTCTAGGAAGTAGAACTCAGCATAATTTTGACAGATTAGGATATGTGGGCAATAAAACAGCCCTCAGCCTGTACTATGTCGTCCATATGGACATATTAGTATTTTATAAATGGTAGAGATATGAAATTTTGTACTTATAAATATGGGACATATATTAAAAACAGGTTAAGAGAAACTGTTAGATATCTCAGCATTTATTTTTAATCATTAGAATCACATAATTGTGGGCTGGAGAGATGGCTCAGTATTTAAGAGCGGATGTAGCTCTTGAGGACCTGATTTTGGTGGTTCTTTGTACCCACATCAGGTGGCCCACAACTGCCTGTAACTGCAGCTCCAGAAGATCAGATGCCCTCTTTGACCTTCATAAACATATGCATAATTTAAATAAAAATAAAATATTAAAATCACCTAATTGTAATAAAGTTTAGTGATTTGTTTGTATAATATTAGTGGTTCATTCATTTACTCATTCATTAAAGCTTCATATATACTAGGCAAGCGCTCTACCTCTACCACTACATCCCCAGCCATTTACTTATTTATTTATTGAGGCAGAGTCTTACTTACTGTTTAGCTCTGGCTAAACTGGAACTCATTATATAGACAGAGCTGGCCTTGACCTCAAGAGATCCACCTACCTCTACCTCCCTGTACTGTAATTAAAGGATTAAAAGTGTGTGTGAGGTATGTGTGTGGGCACATATCCTGTAGCACTCATGTGGAAGTCAAAGGGCAACTTTGTGGAGTCAGTTCTGTTTTCACCTTTAATTGGGTACTGTAAATGGAGTTTTTTGAGTTTTTTTTGTCCCGACTGCCTGGTTCCAAATAAACACTCAAGAGGCTTATATATGTATATAAATGCTTGGCCAATAGGTCAGGCTTGTTACTAACTAGCTTTTACATTTAAATTAACCCATTCCTATTAGTCTATGTATTGCCGTGGGGTTCATGGCTTTACCTGTCCTCTAGCATCTTGCTTCTTGGGCAGCTTGCTGGCATCTACCCTGACTCCCTACTTCTTCATCCCAGTCCTCAGTTTGATTTTCCCACCTGACTTTATCCTGCCTTGCTATAGGCCAATCAACTTTATTATTAATCAGTGAGAGTAATACATATTCACAGCATACAGAGGGATTATCCCACAGCAGGGTACTATAGAAGCAAACTATATTTTCAAGGTTGTACAGTAAATGCCTTTACACACTGAGCCATCTCACTGGCCCCCTAGAATTTTTCTTTTCTTTCTTTTTTTTTTTTGTTCTCTTAGACAGGGTTTCTCTGTGTAGCTCTGGCTGTTCTGGAACTTGCTCTATAGATCAGGCTGACCTTGAACTCAGAAATCCACCTGCCTATGCCTCCAGTGCTGGAATTAAAGGCATGCGCCACCATGCCAGGCTCTAGAAATTTTTTTCCCCTGGAACTCACTCTGTAGACCAGGATGGCTTCAAACAAGGAGATCCACTTATTTCTGCCTCCCAAGTGCTGGGATTTAAGGCATGTATCACTGCCGAGCTATAAAATGCTTTTAATCTCACTGAGATGGTATTTTATCCCTAAATTCTTAATCATAACTAACTAAAAATAAGTTATTTATGTTATGCACAAGAGTAAAGCCTGTAAATGTTATATAACTGGGCTGGCAAGATAGTTAGGCAGGTAAAGGTACCTGCTGCCATACCTGATGACTTGAGTTTAATCTCTAGGATATATATGGTAGAAGGAAAGAACTGACTTCTACAAATTGTTCCCTAACCTCCACAGACTCAGTAGCATGTGTACAACCCCTCCCAATACATACATACATACATACATACATACATACATACATACATACATGGGATAAGTTTTTAAAGTTATATAACTTAGCTGAAGTTTCAGTATTCTTCAGGAGTAAAGACAAGCAGTGATTTCTAGTCGAGGACCACCTTTAGGATTTGATGCTAAAAGGAGTTACGTTGGGGAGTTGGCTCAATGGTTAGGAACACTGCTGCAGAAGACCTGGGTTCAATTCCCAGCACCCACATGGGCAGCTCATACCAACCATCTGAGGTTCTGATCCTAGGGGATCTGAATCCTCTTTTGACCTTGGTGGGTACCAGTCATGTCTGGAGTGTACATATATATACACATACAAGCAAAACACTTGTACATGTATAATAATAAAATTTGTTTTGTTTTGTTGAGACAGGGTTTCTCTATGTAGCACTGGCTGTTCTGGAATTCACTTTGTAGACCAGGTTGGCTTCAAACTCACAGAGATCCTCCTACCTTTGCCTTCTCAGTGCTGGGATTAAAGGTGTGCAACACCATACCTGGCTGTAATAATAAAATAATTTTTAAAAAATTATAGGAATCTTCAGTATTTCCTAGTTTATATGTATTTCTCCAGATGTCGGAATTCCTTGAATAGCATTGCTCAAAAAAGGGGCCTGTGATCTTCCTTTAGAGGCAGTCCCTTTTGTTGTTGAGCAGTAATAAAATTTAGATTACCTTTGCATTGGACATTGTTTCTAGGATTAGGACTATTGATATACTTAAGACATGGTTTTACCCTGTGGAGTTTATAATCCAAGTGTGTAATAGTGGAGTAGAAGAAACAAACATACACTATATCTTAATTGTTTCATTAGAGTTTATCCAATTTTCCCATCTTTCTCTTTCTCTTTGGTTTGTTTGTTTGTTTCAGTATACCCATGGCTATACTGGAACTTGCTATGTAGACTAGACTGGCTTCGAACTTACAGAGATCTGCCTGCTCTCCCAACTATTCAGATTAAAGATGTATGCCACCACACTCAGCTCCTTGGTTTTTTTTTTGGTTTTTCGAGACAGGGTTTCTCTGTGTAGCTTTGCGCCTTTCCTGGGACTCACTTGGTAGCCCAGGCTGGCCTCGAACTCACAGAGATCCGCCTGGCTCTGCCTCCCGAGTGCTGGGATTAAAGGCGTGCGCCACCACCGCCTGGCCCCAGCTCCTTGTTTTTAATCCCTGTAACTATTGTTCTGCATTCTGTCTCTAAATTTTATTATTTTAGGGGCCTCAAATACATAAAATCATACATTATTTTTCCTTCTGTGTCTTGTTTATCATTCTTCAGTTTAATATCTTCAAGGTTCATATATGTTATAGCATGGATTTGAATTATATTTCCAATAAGGATGAATGATATTCTGTTATATGCATATAATATATTTTAGTTATCTATTCATTAGTTGGTAGATATTGACAAGAATGCTTTAAGGTTTTCATCCATCTAGAAAAAACTGGCAAATAATTGGTCTTCAGTAGATATTAGACTAGAGGATAGACTAGATGAGAGAAGGACAGGGAAGCCTTCTTAGAGGAAATGGCATTTGAACTGCCCCTTTATTGGTTTTGCTAGGCAGACAAATGATGAACTTAATTCAGTTTAATAAACAATCTCAGTGATATTTAATTACACAGGTCACCTAACAAGTTAAATCTTTTGTCTGTTGTAACTCCCACCCAGGAGGCATAGGCAGGAGGATTATAAATTTAACCTTACCTGGTTAACTTACTGAGACTTTCTCAAAATAAGAAGTGAAGGGTGAAGGGGCTAGAGAGATGGCTCAGTAGTTAAGAGCACTCACTGGCTATTTATTCTTCTAGAGGGCCTGAATTCAGTTCCCATCACCCACATGACAATTCACAGCCATCTGTAACTCCATTCCAGAATATCTGATGTCCTCTTCTGGCCTGTATGAGCACCAGGGAAGCACATGGTGCAGAGATAGATATACATGCAGGCACACACCCATACACATAAAAACAATTACAATAGGATGGGCATACAGCTCAGTCTTGGAGTGCTTGCTTAACATGAATAAGGACCCGAGGTCCCAGCCCCAGTGCTGCCCGAATAACAAAACAAGTTTTGCCTAAAGGACCACTTAGGCAGGTAAAGGCAAAAGAAGTAAGAAAGCTGTATTGAACAGGAGTTAAAGTAATAAAGTTTCAAAAAATATGCTTTGGGGGCTGAAAGGAAGAAAGGCAATTTACTGTTAAGGGCATATCAAAAGCTGACTTTCATGGAAGAAATGATATTTTATGTGTAGAAACAGGGATATGAATTGCAAAAGTAGATAACACTAGGAGCAAGGAAAGATGGAAGTGAGAAATTGGGGCCATTTTTTTGTGTGTGATCCTGTTCCATTTGGCTCAGATTCTGGCTATGTAAAGTTTGTTAACAGGAAGTGGTATGGGATAGAAGGTTTGGGGGCTTAGAGAGCCTTGAATTCTAAAATTTGGAGTTTATATTTAATATTGTAGGTGGGTAGAGAGAAGTTGTGATAAGACTATATTTTAAAAGAAAGAAGAAACACGGTAGGAGTTTGGAGATGTAGCTCAGTTGGAGAGTGCTTGTCTCAAGCATTTAAGAGACCTGAGTTTGATTCTTTTTCCTTTTTTTTTTTTCTTTTTGTATTTTTGTGTTTTTGTTTTTGAAGACAGGGTTTCTCTGTGTACCATTGGCTGTCCTGGAACTCCCTCTGTAGATCGGGCTGTCCTCGAACTCACAGAGATCCACCTG